TATAGCCATAAAAAAAATGAAAAAAAAAAATATAATAATATCAATTAGCGGTTGCTCATTAAAAACATAATGAAAACATTGTTTGTTCAAGGTTTTACAATAAATTTGTTTAATAGGCAATTTTTGTGTCATTCTACATGTACAAATGTCATCGACCCTCCACTTCTGAAATTGTAAACATCATTTACTGAGCAAAGTATTGGAATTCAAGTGTATTGGCATATTTCACACACACAATTGTAGAAACACACTACAAGAAAATGCACATTTGCCGACTAATTTTTGGCGACTAAAACATTTTAGGTCGCCAAAAGTATAATATTTGGCGACTAAAAAATTAATTTGTCGGCAGTGGTTCAAATTTGTAGCTACTAAAATACTTTAGTCGATAAATATTTATAATTGGCGACTAAATTTTGATTTAGTCGGCAAAATTCATTTTTTTGCGACTAAATAGGATGTTGGTCGTCGTTCCCTACATTTTAGGCTGAAAAAATAAATTTAATCTGTATAAACTGCTTTTTCCTGACTAAAATAAATTTAGTCGCGAAAGATGACGTTTAGCAACCAATATTTTTCATCGTTATTGAGTGCTTATTTGGCTACCAAATAATAAGTCGGCATAATTTATTCCATTCCCAACTAAAAATTAAATTTAGTCGCTAAAAGGTTAAAATTTCAACCCGTGACTCTTTTATTGGTGCGCGCGCATTGATCTGCTAGGCAACAGTACTGTATCACTCACAACTTCACAATAGTGTATCGCACACACACCTCACCAAATCTCACAGAATCAGCCCCCCTTCACCGGTAGCCTACTGTACGGCAACATTATGACGGGCCACTGCCACTGCCACCGCCACCGCCACCGTCGCAACACCACACATCCAACAGGTTTCTCTCTCTCTCTCTCTCTCTCTCTCTCCTCTCTCTCTCTTCTTCCACGCTCTGCTTCTTCACTTTGTCTGCGCGTCTGTCTCTCGCTCCCTCGCACGAGCTCTCTCCTTAAGAGTTCTATGTTTTGTTCTAAATCTCCCACAATCTTATACTGTTCTGTATTCATATATATAATAATTATATATATATGTATGTGCAGGTTTTTTATTTTTGGTTTTTTTATTATATATATTGTAATAATAAGCAGAGTTATTGATGATAGGTATTCAAAGAAAAGCCCGCTTGAAGCCTCTTTCTTATTTCATATTTCATGCAAATATGCTCTCAAAGTAATTTGAAGTATAGCACATTATTGGTGAATATCTGTGGGTTTTTAACTTTATATCACTTTGTGTTCATTTCTTTTGATTGCTGCTCTGTCCCAATATGCCTGTGTTCTTTGTTCCAAACTCTTGACGTCTTTTGACCCTTGTTAGAGTCACTTTGATGCACCTTACTTGTTTTAGGGTTTCAAATTTCTGGGTATTTTGATACATTGTGCCTTTGACCATTTTTATATTTGTCTCAACATACAATTTTCTATATATTTCTGTGTGGGTAATTTTCTTACCACACTGCCGCCTAGTAATCAACTGGAGAGCACCGGCAGAATAGAGGCTTTAGTAAACCTGAAACAGAAGAAAAGGGCTCCGGCGGTGGCTCTTCCACCCAGGGGCACTCTGATGATCAAGTCGTATATCCTCAAAGATAATCAAGTGCTAAACTCACAAGCTTGAGTATAAAACTGCGTACCTTAGACCCATGGGGTGCCTTTTTCTTTTATAGTTAACTCAATCCAAGTCCTACTAGAAGCATGACTTCTATAGACTTCAATTTAGTGATTACTTAGGATTTCTCAAAGAGATAAAGATTAAACTCCCTAAGAGCTCTCCTTATCCTTGGCTAAGTCTCCTCTTTGTCTAGGACTCTTGTCCTTATCCGCTTATCTCGGATTTAGATATCCTTCGGAGATAACCTCGGCCAACTCCGAGATCACCTCTCGGCGTAATTTCCACGACACGTTGCACCTCGGCCAAACACGTCGGCGTCGCCCATGCCACGTGTTGGTACCCAAGAAATATATCCCCACAACTGCCCCCTAGGTTTCTATTACCTCGGCATCCTGAGGTGATGGAAACCTATATCGATATTTCTTTCTGCATAGCGGCTAAAAAAACTGTTTTGGCCGAAAATAATTCTTTATTTAAGCGATGTGTTCTCTTCGGAGAATTAAGAATTCAAAATGTACTCTTATTCACGCGCATGAGCTGTCGTGCACATCTAACCGTTCCTTTCACGTGGCTTGTCTTTATTGGCCCGTGCCTGTGACGCGCCTACAAAGCTGTCTTTTATTAGCCTGCGCCGTCTGACGTATCCAGTGCTCCAGGCGCAATTAAATGCCCTGTTTTGCCGCCGTTTTAACGTTTTTTAACAAAACGTTTCTTTCCCTCTTCCTTTCTCCACTTTTTCGATTCTGATTTCTTTGCTTTTTCTCTCTCTAAAAGCTTCAGCAACTCTTCGAATCTGCCATTGCTCCTAAGCCCTAATTTCTGCGACCGTCTTAATTCTTCCATCCCTGTTGAAGCTTTTGCCACTGTTTCATCTGTCGTCTTATGATCTTGGCGAATATTGCTCGGCTTCACTTTATCTGGTAAGCAACTGGCCCCCTCCTTTAACCCCTTTTGTTCAGTTCTTGATTAGTTCTGGAGTTTTTCGCTATTACTGTTCTTCTTAAGCTTTATTTGTGAATCATTCCACCTGAATGCATCTTATTTTATGATTTTTTTCATATGCCATGAACACTTGCACTGTTTCACCATTGTTCTTGGCCCTTAACCCTTTGTATTCTTCGTTTCTTGATAGTCCATCCCTGTTCTTGTCTCTGAAAACTTCGCTTTTGTTCTCTGTTTTTTTGTGTTTTTACCAGATCTGTGCCCTTGATCTTCGTCTTTAAATTTTAGGTTTGGGATTGTCTTTTAGAACTTTCAAATTTTAGGAAAAACTGAAACAAATCTTACCAGCCCTTTTCCCAGGTTTTGAGAAACCGAGGTTCTAGCAACCCTTTTGAAACACCTATTTTTTGA